TTAGAGCAGCTCCAGAGGAACTAGAAAACACCATTTATACAACTGTCTCCTTGATTTTTTTAGCTCCAAACACTTAGAAAACCGCTTAGTGATACTGCACAAAATTCTTCTTCTTCTTAAATGCTTGCCATTAAATCAAAACTAAGGGGTTTTATTTATTTTCATACCTCAGGGAATACCCGGAGCACTAATCCTACCTGTCCCTTTCTAGTGGTGTGGCTCCACTGAATGATTTTAGGAATGATTTCCTTTGCAGATGCTCTGTTAGACACCAGTTCAGTTACAAGCTTTCTGAAAGCTCTACCAGAACAGGAGATAAGAGAGAGGAACTGATCTTTGTCTGGGGCCAAAAATGGGATTTTTTTGCGTGAAAAATATTGGGTTTGCAGCTGCAAACAATTGGGAGTAAATGTAATGGCCAGACCTGTTGCTTCATTTGTGCTTGCAGCTGATTGCAGCCTCCTCTCACTGCTTTTGATCCGGGTGCCAAGGGAAGTTACTCATTCCCAGCCGAGCAGATCCGGATCTGTGCATCCACCTCCCTGGATGGGTGTCTCCAGTGGGACACAGAGGGAACCGAGGGCACATGGAAATCAAAAATACATGTCCCATATCTTGTTTAAAGAGGAGGGGAAGTATCAAGCTTAGAAATATTCTGCTGCTCTTCTCCAACATTCAGAATTCCTGCACCAAGATCAGAACCCATTCATTGTACAGGAGAAAATTCTTCCCTTTTACTCAAACCCCTTCATTTCGCCATGAAGCATTTAAAATTAAAATTTCTTTGAGGTAAATTGCCTCCAGTTTAGAAACCAAGCTAATTTGCTTTGCAAAGATAAAGAAGGTTGTGGGTTCAATCCCTGTACAGACTGTTCCCTGAAGTTGGACTCCGTGATCCTTGTGGGTCTCCTCCACCACAGAATAGTCTGTGAAATCTGTGAAAAGCCCTGAACTTAAAAACAGATTAGTACATGAGATAAAATCTAGTTAGGACCAGTCTGGGGAAGAAGAGAAGAATTTTCTGAAACATTTCAGAGGCATTAAATTAAATTTTTTCCTGAAAAAGCTTTGGCATGAAATTTCTCTCCGTTTGTGGTGCACCAAGTGAGTTAAACTCCTCTCAGTTATGGGACAGGAGCCTGAGTTCAGGGCCTTTTGAAGCAGTTTGCAGTTGAATCAGCAGATCCAGGATCATATTTAATGAACTTGTAGCATTTAAAAAATACAAATCTCCTTTTTCTCTTTTGCTTTTAAAGCAGAGTCACAGTGGTGGGGGGTGGATTGAGTTCTGTCAGGGGAACTGAGTCCTGAATCCCCACTTGTGTTTAGTTGAACATCATAGCTGGACATCGTGCTCTCCTGATTAATAAAAACCTTCACCTTTGGAAGGAGACCAATGACTGTGCAAAATGAGAGTTGTTAGAGAGAGAGAGGCTTTAAACTTCTCCCTTTTGCCTTCTCATATGGGTTATATTAGGAGTGATCTGAGCACAGTTTAAAAAAACCCTGCTGATGCTTTTCATGCATTTTTTCGGTGTTTGTAGAATTGGTTTGAGTTATGTTGTAGAGTCTGGAGTGTGAAGTTCCCTGGGTTTAGTGGATTTCTCTGTTATATTTTAAAATAGCTGTGTGCTGAGATACCCAGTAATGTGCTTTTCCAACTGGAGTTTGGGGGCGAAAGCTCAGTGTTTTGAACACATGTTGTAAATTCTTAAATTTCCCTCGCCCCGGAATTTTCAAGGAGTATTTGTGTGTTCCTGAAGTCTTGGTTTGGGGAGGGGATTCAGTCCATATGTGATGTGTGTGAAAGGGTCCATGGAAAGCAGCCACAGACCCTTCCAGGAGCGTTTGGGAGGTGAAGTCTGACATCACTGCTGGGCATCTGCACAGATGTTAAATGGCTGTCACAAAAAAGAGGAATGAGAAACGTTCAGGTGGAGAAAATTATTCAAATTATGTAAATATTCAGATGTTTTATATAAAAATAAGAAGATGCCACCTTGTGGTAAGAAAGATGCTTTAGTGCATCCAGACACCCTTTGGGTGAGCAGGGGAGACGTCTGACACCTGGCAGGGATTTTAAATTCTCTTTTAAGCAACAGTTTAACAAGTAGAATTAAATTTGAGGTAGAGAAGTGCACGACCAATCTTCCCCTTTCCCATGTGTTTTCCTCCTCCTCTTGTACTCAGGGTCTTCACAGCACTGCTGAAGCAAAGGCTGAATATTTTCCAGGCTTCTTATTCCGTGCATTTCCAAAGCTGCTTTTGCTGTTATCCCAGAAAACTGGGGCTGGGAAGAGGGACAAACCTTTTGCCTGGGTAGTTGGGACTTTTTTTGGTAGTTGTTTGTGGTTAATTCTGTGTGTAGAGTAAAATATCATCTCTGTTTTATACTCAGTACTTAGAGGAACTATTGTTTGATTTGTGGGCAAACCAGGAAAAATATGGACAAATAAAGGTTTTAAAAGATTGATATCTTCTCTAAATTTATCTCACAGACAGGCATGGCAAACACCTGTGATATTATGCCATTTTTTATAATGGATTATAAAAAGTTTGCCTTTATTCAAACTCCATTTGCAATTATAAGGTGAATTGTGTGTCCTGACAAAACCCTCTTTCTCCCCAGGATGCTGTTCTTTAAATGCTTGTTTGGACTAAAAAAAGAAAACTAAAAAAAACCAAACCAAATCCCCAAACTTTATTCTTTTTTTTTTTTATCTTGCATTCTAGCTTGTGTAATTTAAATAATCCACTTTATCTGCAGCACACTTAGTGAGAGCACAGTAGAACTGCTGTCATGTGCATGGCAACAAACTACTCTTGTCTTACTGTTTAGGTCCCTTTATTTCACACGGGGAAAAAGTACAGGAAAAATATTAATAGGAAAATTTTACAGCCCTAAATTTTGTGCCTGTGCACACACACACACTCCTTAACAGCAGGGGATGTCTGCCCTGTGCAAGTACTTCTGTGCATATTGATGCTAAATTAATAATAATAATAATAATAATAATAATAATAATAATAATAATAATAATAATAATAATAATAAAGGGGTTAGCAATTTTTCCCCAATTTGAAGAAGTATTGTGCCTGTAATTAAAACATACTTTCTCTTAACATAATTTATTTCCTTGCATAATGTAATTTGACAGAGCATTATAAATGTATATCTCTATGCTTCATGACCCCATTATGAGGACAATTTTTCCATAGTAATTCATTTGTGTTCTGTTTCTTCTTGCTTTCTGATTACACAATCAGGATTGAATTGTGCAACCAACATCCTGATTAAAATGAGACAAAAAAACCTGTACAGCTCAGCTCCCTGAAAATCTCTTCTGGTTCCCCCAAAGACAATGGCGAAAATCTTATTTGTTGGTGAAGACAAAGTTATTAAAATGGATTGCAAATGGGAAGAGGAGAAGGTGGAGCTCCAGCTCCCCGTGGGAGGAAGGCAGGGTAGGAAGTATCAGCCACAAACACAATTCGGAGAAGTACTGCAGGAAAAAAGGAAAACCATCAGAAAGCTGGGATTGACAAGGGGGACTTGGGAGAATGTTTCTCATTTTTCTCCATATTTTAGGATCACAGCAAGGTGCAGTGTTTTTCACAGCAACAATTTATTTAGTTGCCAGAACTCCAAACCAAAGCAAAACAAAGCGAGATTTTGATGCAGGAGTGCTAATGCCACCAAATGCACAAATAACTGTGTTTTTAATGTAATTCCAGCACCAGGCCCAAGAATCTGAGCAGCCCCCTTTGCCTACTCCAGTTTAGAGCTCCTGTGTTTTCCCACTAACCCAAAATGTGCTTGGGAAATAACACAGCCAAACCTGTCCTCTCACTAAAGATGGGTCTTTTAAATCATTAGTCTGGAATAATTTCTGTGCTTGGAATTAAAACACACATTCTGGTAAATGGTAGGATTAAATAATCTGAACTGGGAGTATTTTTGTGTGTGGTTCCATTTCCTTTGTTTCTTTTATGCTCATTTTTCCAACTCTTTGTGAATAATACAGTATCTGATTATTGTTTGGCTACTAGTTAGAAAATCAAAATTGGGATTAATTTCTTGAGGGTATTAACAAAATGAATGCAAAGTGTATCAGCATATTTGCAATGCCATATTGATCTTGGACATAATCAATTAAAAACTTAGATCTTAATCCTCAAGACTTGAACAGGTCCAGAAAAATGGAGAAACTGAGTTGCAGCTTTGCCTGGTGCCCTTGTTTATTGATTATTTCTCTGGTCCCCTTATTTACTGATTCATTTGGTCATTTGAGAGTGTGTTTAGATGGACCATGGGCTGCCCACGAGCAACAACAGCAAATCAGTCAAGCACATGAGGAAATGCTGTGCCACAAATCTGAGCAGTGGGCCAAGTTCAGGAAAAGGCTGATTAATAGAAATTATTAATTTTAAAGAACTTCATTAGAGCAGAAGTTTGGCCTCATGGTCCATACTTGAGTTTGGGAGCTGGGAATTCCTGATTTGAATACCCTGGCTCTTTCTCACAGTACATCCAGTTCTATATTATCTCCTCTAACCTCCTATGGAAATACTCTATGTACTACAGCACTACTACTTGAGATAACTCCAAGAAGGTGTAGTTAGAACTGGTTGAAAAATAGGAAACATCTCTTATGGAATATTTCTGACCAATTCTAATTATCGCCCTTAATGTATCACTGAAAAATTTGAAACAGGATTTCTCTGGAAGGTGTGACCTGCTCTTTGAAAGTGGGGGAAAATACTTATTTTTAATCACCTTCATCTCAAGAGCTGTAATTGAGGTTATGAAGTTATAGTGGATTAACAGGTTAGTGATTTTTTTTTTTTCAATATGGGGAAAAAAATACAGCGAGTTTCTTATAAAAACTTTCCTAAGTGCTCAACCTTTGAACACAAATGCGAAATGCAATGTTTTAAGTTCGGGCCATAAGCTTCACATTAGAAATTAATCATGAGATGTTTTGGTGATAAAATCTCTCTCATTTGAAAATGTAATTTATTAACCAGCACAATATCTATTTCAGGGCATTATTCAAGCTCCAATAAAGATTTTCATAACGTTCCAATAACGTGCCAACATTAAGCCCTGTGTGAAAGGCGAGGGTGCTTTTCTCTTGGCTCCCAATCTCCCCTTTTTTCATCCCCCCTGGGATGCAAAAGCAGAAAACCCAGGGATGTGAGCAGATATTTGCTGGAATAACAGAGAGGTCACAGCTGATCTGGAAGCTGTCGGAGGGGCAGTGAGACCCTTGGAGCTGCTCGTGTTCCCATGGTCCCTTCTCCCTCTGCCAGGAGTTCTTCCCAACTTCTCCCAAAGGAACAGCACAGGTCTGAGCTTCCAGTTAGGGACCTGCATGGGAGTAAAGGGTCTAAGGAAGGCTTTGAGGTCTAGTGCATCCCATCCCTTGCATCTTATCCCCCCCTCTCATCCTTCCTGTCCAGCTCTGCACTGCTGTTGGCTCCTGTGTATGGTGGTGGAAAAGAACCCACGAGCAGCTTTGATCCGAAGGGACTAAAACAGATGGAAGCCTTGGGATCCTCCTGTGCTCGGTAAAGGAACAGTCAGTAAAATGATAGCAAAGTATTAGTTCTAGGGGAGAAAAAAAAAAAGATACTTGCAATTCCCTTTACATTTGCATAATTTTCTTTACATTGAAAAAAATAATTTAATGTGGCTCCAACGTGCTGGTCCTGGGAAGCCTCCTGGAAAGGCAGGAGGTACCTGACAGCACTTGGACTGGGCTGTTTTGCCTGGGCTGTTAATTATTTTCATTTATGAAATTCTAAATTCGAAATTCTGTTTTAAATATTGAATATTTCTGGTGAAATGACAGCTTGTGCTCGCTTTAGGATATGCCTGCCTGGTAATTATTCATGAGGAGAACAGCTGAAAACAAACTCGTTATACACCTTGGCAAGTCCCTGTGATTTGAATTCTGTGAAATTTCCCCATGGCCATGTGACTTTATTCTGAAGTACTCGAGCAGTGCAGATGTCCAGAATGCCAGAGCTGTTACAAATGTTATTCCTGTAGTCAAAGTTTTGAATCATCAGCGCTTCAGGAAAAGGGGGGGGGGGAAAAGAAGAAAAAAGAGGAGCAAAGACTGATGATACAGGGTGAGTTTTGAGTGTTTGTCACATCCTTCATTACGTGCAGCTCTCGTACATTACCAGAGCACAGACAGATCTTAGGAATATATCTCAATGCGTGTTCAGGGCACGGAATGGAATTTTCAAATTTCCAGTGCCTGGAAGAACAGCCCACTGAAAGGCACCGAGTATTTTAACTGTCTCCTTTAAGCCATGATACAATAAGCATCAGCACTGACATTTTTGGAAGTTTAGAAGTAAGACAATTTCTGTGTAACATTGGATGAAGAATCGAAATGCTTCAGATTTAGCTAAAAATAAAACATTTCTCTACTTTCGCCTTTTCTTTTTCTTCTCCATATGGCTCCTGAAACATTCCTTCATTTAAATAGGTTTTAGAGCTCTTTCCTTATAGTTCCTAAAGCATTCATGGCTTTTGAGAAAAAAACAAAAAACATTTTAGCATGTGCTATTTTTGTTATTCTAATTAGAAAAAAACAGCTGGTCCTGAGCAGCTCTGACTGGAGTCTTTTTCAACACATTGTTCAGATTCTTTTTTCTCCTGTTTTTCTTTTTCCTGTCAAGCCACAGGCTCCCACCTCTCCTCATCCCACACGAGCCAGCCCCAAAAACACCTGCACGTGCTGCCTGAACCTGCACATCTGCCAGGGAGCACAAAGAACACACTTTATTGGTCACAGGACACACACATTACATTGGAGGCATTAGGAATGTACAGATTCCCAAGGAACTGGAAGGGGCACCAGGCTAATGACCAGTGGCTTCATTTGCCTTTCACAGGGAGCTTTGAGCGCCTCTTCCTCGTGTTCCTGCTCGTCCATATAAACCAACTGAACTGCCTGCAATTAAAAAAACAGGGTAATCAGGCCTCACTTAGGGTTTTGGTATCTGTGTGCCTGTGTGCCTACAAATAATCATTGGAGCTGATCAAAGTCCCCCTTGCTGTTGCTATGGAAATGAATCCCCGTTTTGTTTACGGATGGGTCTGTGCCACGTGACCAGGAGTGATGTCAGGTGGAAAGCTGAGATAAATTAAATTTGTGCTCTGAAGTTATTAACATATGGTTTGTGTGAGGGTGTGCCTGGGTATTAACTAAGAAGGGGAAGATCCAGAAAATTCTGTTCCTTTAAAATGCCATGGAAGCACAGTGCCTACCACAGAGACCACAGCGTAGTTTCTTCCAGTGAGATACACAGTGGCAGGGACAGGGATGTTTCTGTGGCACATCCAAATCGTTGGAACTGTTCTTTAACAGACCTTCTCCTTCTTTAATTTCCTTCTCCAGTGTTTCCTCCTGTCTGAGCTCCATTTCTTGGTTAGATGTCATTCACAACTGTCCCTAACTTTGCATCCGTGCGTTTTGCCTGAATGGAAAGTCAGAATTTATTTCCAGCTCCGAGTCAAAAAATCATTACATCTATTTAATGACACCAATACTGTTACTTTGGAAGGCCAAAGAATCCATACAATAAATATTAATTGCATTTCAGAAAAAATGTTATAATGCACTGATGATTCTGAAACACTCTTTGAAGCCCTAAAAACATGCAATTAAGATGAAAATCTGTGTATCTGTCCATTAGAGTTGCCTTCTCTTTAGGTGGTGTTTCCCCTAATGTTGCATCACAGGTCAGAACCAAATGCAGGTGGCTGTTGAGGAAAAACAAAAGCCTGTAGCCAAGAGGAATCTTCTCTTGGTCTTGGTCATGTGTTTCCACAAAAAGGGGAACAGAAATGCCCCTCTCCAGCTGATATTTCAGATTTGCTGCCTTTCAGTTCCTTAGAGCACCTGCCAGGTGAATGAAATCCTGCTAAAGTCAGTGGAGAAACTCCACAATTCAGCGAGTTTGGGCTTATAGGGTAGTGACCATATAACCAAAAGCAGAAAGCAGCAGTTGAAATTAGGTAACTTGTGCATCTGAGGAATAAATTGCATACTCCTTCTGTAGAATGTGTAGGAATTAGTGAAGAGACATACCAGAAATGAGCATTTGCAGAAACACTTTTCCCACGACAGCGCTGGAGGGATAGTTGGGATACAGCAGAGATGGGGAACTACTGCCAAACTCAGCCAATGCCTCGGCGTTCAAACAGGCTAAAAGAAGGCCAGTTTTTCTTTTCCAGAGTTTGATCTGTGGACAATATTAGACAAGAAACCCAGAATATTAGACCAGAGCCTGCAGCAGTTCTATTGCTCCCCCGAAATACCTCCATTAAAAAAAACGCCCTGAAGATGCCCCGATATTTTGGTACATTTATATGTTGTTATTTAATACAGGATCAACACTGAATTTCTTACTTTGAAGGCCAGAGAGCATTTTTCTGTCTCTTCAGAAACACAATAATCTCTCTAATTCCCGTGCCACGTGGTGGTGTCCCACCTCGCAATAGGTGCGTAATTGAGGGCAGGATTTGACCCTTTGATTCTGTAAATCACATATGATCATTACAGAAGGGCTCAGATCTCTTCACGTTGTATGATTGCCAGCTCACCAGCCACCCTGCCTTTGTCACATTATTTTTTTTTTAGAGTCTGACACTCTAATGAAAGCAATACAAAAGGCTGCCAGAGCCCAGCTCAGAATGCCCAATTTGCTTTGACTGCCATTTTAGAGAGCAAAAGCGTGCTCCATTATTTGTATCGATATTAGGATGAACTTAGGACAGCAGATCTTCTGGACAGGGGCTGCACTTTTATTTCCTTGATAGGGGCTGTGCACGTCTGTGGTATGTAAATAATAATTCAATAGTAGGAAAATTAATGCATTGCTGATGTCGGACTAATCACCTTCTGTTGGCTCTGTGGAGGATTTAAGCTTTACTCAGTTTTCAGCCCATACACTTAAACGATAAGAATTCAGAAGATTTTGTCTGTCTTTGTGTATAAAAGCTGAGCAAACCCCATTTTCTTTGGCCCAAGCTTCTAGAATAATCCCCAGTACGTCCATTTATACTCATTACCTGCTGTCTGCAGCAAGGAAAGAAAGTCTGCTTCTTGGCACCTGTTTTGAAAAATCTTGAATTCCTTTTCCTTCTGTCCTTCGCCGCCGCAAACTTTTTCTGTCCTCCTCATCTGAGACACTTGGGGAGAATGAGGGCATTAAAGCAAGCTTGTCAAATGCTAACCTGGTAAAGAAAAGGCTTGGAAATGCATTTTGTTCCCTGGAGAGAGGCTGTATTATTCTGAGGTGCCCTCTGCTATGTCAAGAGCTAAAGATGCTCCATGAACCACACCTTGGCAAAGATGAGTGAGACCCTCCCTTCGAAAGGCTCGGACCTGTTGAGCATCCTTTTCATCATTGGAGCGTCTCAGATTAATCATCTCTTCCCACAAAGTAGAATTTCCTTTTGTTAAGACCTCAGGGAAGCTAAATTTTTCAAAATACACGCTGGACAGGACTGAAGGTTTTTTTTCCTTCCCTTTGGAGCCCCATTCACAGAAGCAAACCTCCGTGTTTAAAACTTAAAAAACAGAGGCAGCAAGGGTTTCAATTCAGAGGAAGAAAGATGTGTTGGTCCTGAGATTTGTGCATTCTCCTGAGTGCTGGAGAAATTTGTGAAACTCATTATCTCCCAGTCCAGCATTTTAAAGAAATCCCTGACTATATCAAATTTAGCTTTGCCATAAATGTGTGTAACTAATATTAGAACTCTAAAGAGGATCTCGTTAATCATCGTTAAAAAACAATGCTTAGATATTCTTAGAGGTGGGATTTGTTGGGTGTTTTTTTATGGAGTCAATTGAGGCTTAATTTTCTATGTGGGTATTACATGCACAGATCTCGAGCCCCAAGGGATTTCTTCTGAGACATGACAGTGAGAACATATTGCTGCATGTGAAAAATACTTCTGCCATTGGTGCTCAACATTCTGAGAGAATTTTCTGATTTCAGAACATGCTAAAAAAAATTAAAAGGAACAATCCTCCCCAACCCCCCGCCCCACTATTGCTTTTCAGTGTGTTACAGCAAAATCTGAAATTTAGGGTTTGAAAACGAACCCATTTTCAGGCAACCTGGTATGCTGGGCTTATAAAGAAGTTGGATGTGCAGAGTAAATTCAGATATACAGTACAAAGTTAGGCTTCCATATGATTTACTGGGTTCATTTGCTTCCCTTTTCTACTTTTATTCTGGATCTTTCTATTGTTCTCCTTCCAAAAGGAACACGGTACAGCAGATTCATCAGAGGCCATTATTTACTGATTCTGTGTATTGTTTTCATAATGGTTGAACTCAGCAAATCATGAACTGATTATTGAGTTTTAGCAAGTGGCTAATGAATCATTGATGCTGGCTCAGGGAGAAACAGATTCCTCATGGTTCTGCAATTCTGCAGGTTTCCGCCAGATTTCACAACCGGTTTCATTCATTCCTTTTATTTCTTCCCTAAATTCCTCTTTTTTTGGAGCGTTACCTTCAAAAAAACCCAAAGCCAGTGACCGCTTAAAAGGCGTCAAGTGTTTTTCACTAGTAGGTTAATGATAAATATTGACTAAAAACAGATTTAAGAAAGAATCAACAGGATTTGAAAATTCCATGAGGCGAATGAGAAATTATCAATAAACTTTAAGTCATTATAAATCAGCTACAAGATGGCACGAAAATAATATGCAACTTCAAGTGAATGATTTTAATAAGTTAGCAAAACAGAACTGTTGATTAATACAGCACAACATATTCCTTGTGTATTACAGAATAGTAATGAATTATTATAAAACCACTATTTTATAGCTGTAATGGAACAGTGTGAAAACTTTAATAGCGGCCTGCAAAAGAGGCTCTTTTCGTTCTCATTTTTATCTCTCAGCTTTTTGAGATGCCTGTCCCTACAGGATTGTTACAAGATAATAGAACTCAAAGATTTATTTCTGATAAAAGGTTTAAATTGCAACAGCAAAATATAATAGCCCAATAACAAGGCCGAATAGATATTAAAATAAAGAGGGAAGAAAAAAGGCATAGACTTATTGCTTACCTGTCTATTCATGATAATGGATCCATCATGTTGCAACTTGATAGTAGCTCCCTATAACCTGTATGCCGGAATTTATTAGAATCACGGAACGGTTTGGGTTAGAAGGACCTTAAAGATCATCTTGTCCCATCTCCTGCCATGGGCAGGGACACCTTCCACCAGGTTGCCTTGGTGCCAACGAGCTCACCGGCTCAGCGGGGAGTTCTACTTTAAAATATATACCGGGTTCTTTAATGCCTCGAGATAGTGTCTAGGGAGTGAGCCACAGACTTGTTCCCAAGAGGCCCTTTCGGAGATAATTTAGGGGAGAGAACAGTGGGGCTCGGGCAGCGTTCAGAAGCCCCCCCACCCCTCAGTGCAGCCCCAAAGCCCCCGCCCCGCCCCTGAGAGGGGTCGGTTTTCCCGCCGCCTTTGCCCCGCGCCTGCTCCGGGGCTGCCCCGGCTGCGCTCCAGGGGCGGCCCTGAGGGACATGGAGCCGCCTCAGCGCCGGGAGGGGCTGCTGGGCCCTGCCCCTCCGCACAAACACACACACGAGGTGGTTCTGACCCAACAGTACCGATCTGATGTCTAACACCTGGCCTTGGACACTGCCAGGGATGGGGCAGCCAAAGCTTCTCCGGGTAAGCTGTGCCAGGGCCTCGCCACCCTCGCAGGGGAGAATTTCCTCCTCACGTCTCATCCAAATCTCCCCTTTTTTAATTTTAAAACCACTCCCGTTTCTCCTATCGTTGTCTGCCTGTGTAACAAGCTGCTTTCCCTCTTTTTAATAAACTCCCTTCAGGCACTGGAAGGAGCTCTGAGGCCTCCCCGGAGCCTTCTGTTCTCCAGGTGAGCGCCCGCAGCTCTCCCGGCCTGGCTCCGGAGCAGAGGGGCTCCAGCCCTCGCAGCATCTCCGTGGCCTCCCCTGGAGTCTCTCCAACAGCTCCAAGCCTTTCCCGTGCTGAGGACCCCAGAGCTGGACACAGGATTGCAGGTGGGGTCTCACCGGGGAAGAGCAGGCGGGCACAATTCACCGGTTGCGCTGCAATGTGTGTGTTTGAACGCCACAGTAAGGAAGGGGTTTTCCTGGAGGTAATTTCTGTGTGGATTAGGCCTTTTTTGTCCCTTTCACCTTTCTCGTAGAAGAAAATTGCCTTTGTCGTAATCTGCCAAATTTGGTTCATTTTCATTTCCACTAGACTGATACTGAGAATAGGAGATTTTTAGTTTTTTCCTGTGGTGAAGGTGAATAAAGTTTATGAAATAAGAAATTCCAGTGGTGTAAATGAAAGATCCCCCACAAGTTTTCAGGGCTTGTGTATGGTGATGATTCTTTCCCTCATGTGCTTTCCCTCGGTGCTATCTTGAGTATTTAGGTGTGAGCTCTTGTGCTCTTGCTCTGTATATTTTTATTTTCTTTATTTTGTTCTTTTTTTTTTTTTTAATTCTTTACTAAGTAGAAATGGCCAGTTTCAGCATGGAAGATTAAATCTCATTGGAGAAAGTCTGTAGATGAGGAATGGGAGTGGGGGGAATGAACCAGAACTTCTCCTATATAGAACAGAAAAAGTTGGCAGGCTGGAGTATTTATAGTTTTGATAATACTTTTTTTCCAGTCTTTCTCATAACAGCGGTTCTTCATCAAAACCAACTGGACTGAGTTGAAAAAGTCCATTTTCCGTAGTTTCTGGTGAAACTTTCCAAGGAGCTTTTCTTACAGTTCCTCAGTAAACACGTGGGTTTGTGGCTCTTCAACGCCATTTTGATCTTTGTGGAACATGAGGATTGCCAGGGGCCGTTGTAGAGAGAATTTCTGCCTTTTGCAAATCTCTTCCCTGAAAAGAGTGTGCTGGTACCGTTTCAAACCCCAAATAACAACCCCCCCGATTTTCTGAAGTCTGGAATGATCCCATTTCCCAGTGTGGAGAGGAGCAGGTACCCATACGTGGGATGAACTGTTTCTTCTCTCTTTTTTTCTCATCATATTTCCATTCACAGAGATTTTTCTGCCACATTTGAAATTGAGCTGCAGTTAATAGGATCTGATTGGAATTTTCATGAGCAGCATCTTTGTCAGATTTGTCCAAAATAACCGAGAGAAGATAGTTTAGATATTTCATATATTCTCTTTCAATTGGTTAAAAATTAATGAGAAAACCCTCTTTAAATTCGGGAAGTAAATATTTTTCAGTATGATACATCATTAAGATCTGTTACATTTCTGATGGACACACATTTTCTAGGGCAGAGACTAGAAACTTATGGAAACTTTGTTTCAAGAGCAGATGGAGAATTTACAGATTCGGGGCTTGGCAACTTTGCCCCCTTTTTAAGGGCTCTTTGTGTGTGAAGCCTCGTGGCTGCAGGAAGTTCTGCTAATGCAAATAATCCCCACAGCCTTTCATGCCAGTATTGCCTACTTCTGTCCAGCCTGGTCTGTGTACTGAGGGGTGAGCTATTAATATTGCCTTTTTACAGCTAAATTATCTGACTCCAGAATGGTTCACAGATTCTATTAGAGACCCCTATGGAGGATTGCTTCTCCAAATAGGCTTTTTAATTCATCCGGGTACACTAAGGTGTTGCCTTCCTTTCATTAATAAAATGGAAACTCATAAAGAAAACCAGATTATCCGGAATTTATGATCAGGTAATTTTGTTTCTCTTAGCTCTGGTAATAATTGTGGAACATTATTTCCTTGTTTCTTTTCCTTTCTCCTTCACGTACCTAGAGAATCTTAATTTCTCATGTTTATTTATCTTTTCTTTTTTTTCCCTGTTTTAATTTGACAGGAAAAGCTATCTAGGACCCCAGGAGGCAAACGCTGAGAGTTAGGAATTGGCCCTTCCCATCTCCACTTTAATGAAATAATAAGTAATTGGTTCATATTTACCTATGCTTTGGAAATTCTAGGTTATTCTTTGTGTTCTGTCTTAAAAAGTCTTAAAATGGTAGTTTCTGGCTTTAGTTTTAATATAGATTGGTTGGGGTTTCTTTTTCATTTTATCATTCACACAGTGAAGTGATTTATCTCTCTCGTGGTGACTCTGAATATTCAACTTTCTACCTGCATTTTCCTGCATTTCCCCCTGAAACGAAGCCCTGAGCTCAAGGTGAATGTGAACAGAGTGACTGAATGAAGTTTAAATACACTTGGGGTCCTCAATAGGGATGAATCACCACCCTTTTCCTGACACCAGCCTCTCTCTACCTCAGTGGCAAGGCTGTCTCTTTACTGACAGCTGCCTTTTTGGGGGAAAATCCCTGAATCCAGCTCTTGTGCAGGCGGATCGTGCTCTGGATCACGGCTCTGCTTGGATCACTTCTCTGCTGCAGAGCACTTCTGAAGCACCTCTGCAGAGACCACTTCAGCTGAATGACTACTCCATGAACTTAAAATGGAGTGTGCAGAGCTAAATTATCCCTGTAGATGCTTTGGCTAAACTTCCAGGAGCAGGTTGTGCTTTGGAGATCTGAGAACCACAGCAAACCTCCAGGGAATTCACAGTGACGTGACACAAGGGTGATGTCATCCCTCACCAGAGAAATTTCAAAGTAACTAAAATACCACCAAAATTTAAAGCATCTCTGTTTCTTGTACCTTTTCATTCAGAAGTTGTTAATCTCTTCTAAAACCATGGAAATGAGATTTCCAAATTAAAATTGAACCCACTCACGCGCATTAAAAATTAAATGTATTAGTCAGGTTTTAATAATGATCTATAAAAACTGGCAACACAAGTGGGAGAGACAGATCACCATTCCTGTCACAGAAAGAAAATCTTCCTCAAACCACCTTTTTTCCCCAATTTGTGACAGTTCTGCCAATGTGTAGAGTGTGACCTAAAGGCCACCTGCTCTACAGCAAGGGGTGGTTGATGCCTGTTTGGTACCACAGTGTAAAAACTGGTTTGCTGGTTATCTTACAATTCTATCTCCGTGAGCTGTTACTGGGTTAAAAATGAATTTTCTTTATTTCAAAAATTGTCTCCTTTAATTAGTGGCATTCATTATTTTTGATAATCTAGTGGCTGAAAAGTAGTTTATGAAGATGGCCTAATCTCTCTTAATGTCTCTGTTGGCATCATGGCCTTGCACTTCTCTTTCTAAATGGAATCTTTCTTGCTTACACATTCTTAACCTGCTCAAGCATTGAAAGCCAATAAACTACGGATTCTCTTAATTTAGAGCTGCTGAAGTTGCTGAACAGAAATATTTTCAATTTGATATTACTTTCATGAGACAGGAAGCAATAGCATGAAATCCCAGACAAAGCATTCCCAAAATATGGACTGAATAGCTGATTTATTTTTTTTTTTGTCATTTAATAAGAATGTGAAAGGGATGATACTCTAACATGGTAAATCCTGGAGAAAAAATAAAATTAATCAGATTTCTGCATTTCATCTATATTAAGAACAGGCATAGAAACCCTTTAATTCCAGGCCCCCTCTAACTCTGGAAGTTCCCTTGCCAGAATGGGCTTGGTTTATCCCAGCTCCATCTTCTGCTGTTAATAATTTACTGCAAGCATCTGATGTACAGTGGTAGCCTAACATAAGTAATTTTAAATAGAGTAAATTTGGCTTGGCATGTTTAATGAAAGTTAAACTATTGCTGGCAGTGGAAAATCACGAGACTGGAGACATTCAGACAGTTTTGAGATTTCTTTTGTTCTTTATTACTGCTTTCAGACTGCATTAAGTTCTGAAACTAGTCTAAAAAATAATTACAAAATGCAAGGTGAGTATTCCATTAATTTTTCTAATGGAATATAAAATAGGGGAGCCGCAGGTGAAGCAGATACTCAGCCTGTAGTCTGTGTGCTGCAGAAAGTGCAGCTTCCTGCAACGTGCCTTCACCTGCACGGAGCAGAGGGTTTTTGCTGGGTGTACAACCAACTTCATGGCAGAGAGAAGCAAGAGTAATTTTCCTGATGAGAGGTTGAAGCTCCCGGGCTGTGCAGAGCATCCAGTTTTTCTTCCCGGCACAGCACAGGCGGCCTCTGCCTGTTTCTGGCACTGCTGGAGTGTGTGCCAGAGCTGCTGCACCGGGCAGGGCTGAAACAAAAAGCACTCGGCAAAACTCGGGCAGGAGGCTTTGAAAGGTCTCCCGAGGAGGAACTGGTCGGTTTTGTAACAAGCCTTGCCCTGGAAATGTCTCTGTAAAACGAGTCCAGAGGGCTTGTAACGCTTTCTGTAGCCCAAATGTCCTCACATTTATTCTCTAAGGCGTTGAAGTGCGGGGAAGCTTTTGAATTGCAGGTGTGGTTATGTGAAGGCACTAAAATCTCCCATTTTAAAACAGATTAAACAGTTCGATTACCACAAGTACCTGGCTGTCTTGTCTCCCATTGG